GGTCCGAACTGCAACATTCCAGCTGATTGACCTTGGGAAACTCGTTTAGCCTCTCTGAGCCTAAATGATTTTATTTGTAAACTGAGTCTTAGATTAACACTCCTTTTATTTCATAGGATTGTTAGGAAAATTAGCTGAGAGGGTGTTTAAAGTGAAAGCACTTTATCGGGTGGAAATCCGTCTTTACCCACCAGGTATTATTATTTGGGTTTTCCTTTCGCACCGATTTCCTGTCTGTTGCAGGAACTCCATCTGTGACATGCTGTCTCACTGACGTCGGGCGATTTCTTCTCCCCGCTGGGTCTCTGTTGTGCTTCGGTTTAATGGATGTCACTCTCCTTATCGCAGCCAACACTCGCGCTGAGCTGAAGGCATCGGCCAGGGTGGAGTGGGGGATGGGAGTGGTTGGAGGAACCTTGTTTTGAGAGATCCAAAGGGAATTTCACGCTGGGCCCACCACAGCTGCTCACACACGGGAACCACGGGCAGACCTCGTGCTCCTTGATAGAACGTGAACCCAGAGGGCAGGATAGACCCTGAAGAGTTGAGAATACGGCAGGGCCTGGGTCTGCGGTTGGGACCCAAGGGCAAGGTGCCTGATTCTCTTCCCCTTCGCCTGCTCCAGACCTAAGATGTAGAGGGAAGGGTTAATGAGGGGCAGGTTTGGAAGGGGGGCTGAGGTTGAGGACTGGATGCGCACTATTGTCTTCTCGACTCCCGAGTCCGACTGAAGAGCAGCCATGCGAGCCAGATCATCTAGTCAAATACTATTTTTCACCCAATTAATTCCTGAACTCTTCCGCGACCCCATTTCATGCCAGTTTATTTTAAGCTGCCACTCGGCTGGAGACCCGCCAAGAAATTATGAGACGTGTTGGTCCCAGATGCCTCTGTGTTCCCTTTCCAGGCTGCTATGGTTGCCCTTCGAGTCTGCCGGGCAGAGACCAAGGGACAGGGCCTGGCAGGTGGGTGCTAGGCAATTCGGGCAGCCGAGCCTGGCCCTTTGCGCTGGTGGTCAGCCTGCCTCACTCCAATCCCGCTTCTGTGGCTCCCTCTTGGGGGTCGCTTGGAGACTGGGCAGGTCGCTGATGCGAGGCCTCTCAAAGACACTGTTCTCTGCCTGAAGGTGGGAGCAGGGAGGGTGTGTGAATGGGAGCTCGGAGGGCACGAGTCTGCTGGTCGGCCCACAGATCTAGCTCCTTGCTCCTTTCAGGAAAGAGATTTTAATGAGGAGCACTGGCGAAGATCTGCCCCCACCCTTCCCAGAAAAACCTTTACCCTCAACTAGGTCCCCCGAGGTCCGAGCCTCACTGATCGCACCCCTCTTGCTTTCTAGCGTATGACACCTGGTGCGGTGTGGCCCATGGATGCACCAGAAAACTGGGGCTCAAGATCTGCGGTAAGTGAAAGGGCCCGCTGGGGCTCGGCTAGGCGGCGCGGCAACCGGCTTTGCGGGTTTGGGAGAGTGGAACGAACGCGGAAAAGGATTCCGGCGGGGTCTGGTTTTCTAATATACCGACTGCCCTGACGCCTGGCGAAGACCCTCATCTACATGCCTTGACCCTCCTGTGCCCCCTGACAGGGCCCAGGGGGAAGGGGGGACCTTTTCTGCCAGCGTCCTGGACTACCTGAGACCGCGGGGCTCTGTGTGGGGGCGCGAGAGCGCAAGCACAGCGCCCCCGCGCGGCAGCCGGGCTCTTCTTGCCGGGCGCTGGGGCCCTTCCGACTCTTGCGCTCTGCGCGCGCGTCTCGAAGGTCGTGTAGAAAGGTGAACTGGTCTGGCTTTTCTAGAGAGCTGTCCTTTGGCGCAGTATCTGCCTAAGGCGGTGGCGGACTCGTCGTTCCCCTTCCCTCTTTACTAACATTGCGCGTTGAAAGTGGCCTCTCTGGCTTGAGATCTTTGCCCCGAGATGCCATAACGGATTCAGATTTCGTTCTGAATCGGAGGCCAAGAGAAAGGATCGCCTATAGTCCCCGGTGGCCTACCTGGGGGAGGTGCAGGTTGCGCAGGCCGGAGGGTTTGCCGAGCTTGCCCTTGAAGGAGAGGAGGGAAGGGAAAGGAATCAGGCAAGAGCGGAGGGCCGCAAGAGGGCAAGGGGGAGTCGGGCATGATTTGCTGGAGAGGAAGGAAAATAGATCTGGGAGCTGGAAAAGAGAAAGAACAGCTCTCCGGAGACGTGAGGGTATGAAACGAAAACGCCCAGGTGATGTAAAAAAAAAAAAAATTTTTTTAAGGAAAAAAGATTTGTTCGAAGGGACACAGCCGAGTGGCTTAGGCTGAACAATGAGGACTTGCTTTCCTTGCTACAATTCACCGTCTAAAATCTCTAGCTTTATCAGTCAAGAAAATACGGATGCCCCTGAACTGAGGATGGAGAGGCGGGGGAAGATTAACGAGGAGCTTATTAAAGAGCCATCCGTCAGCAGCTGCGCGCCCGCCAGAGATAGCGGCGGAGCCGGCAA